ATATGTGACCCTGGACCACAAAACCAGTCTTAAGTCGCTGGGGTATGTTTGTAGCAATAGCCAAAAATTCATTGTATGGGTCAAAATTTTCGATTTTTCTTTTATGCCAAAAATCATAAGGATATTAAGTAAATATCATGTTCCATGAATATATTTTGTAAATTTCTAACCGTAAATATATTAAAATTTAATTTTTGGATGATGTACAAATCTCAATTTTGAAAAATTTACACTTATGACTGGTTTTGTGGTCCAGGGTCACATATGCATAACAAATATACAAAGCACACATACATATATTATGTAAACAAAAACTTTTATTTTGAATGCGATTAATCGCGATTGATCGTTTGACAGCGCTAGTAATTTAGAAAAAATAGAAAAGAGTCTGTTTACTAAAGTAATTAGAAGAAAGCAATTTGAGCAGCAGAACAGTTATTGTGTACAACTAATTTAAAATATATTTTATTCAGAAAGATTCATTTGAGAAAATATTTTTTTTGCCGCTATTGTACATATTTCCTGTTCATGTTTCAAATACTTGAGGAAAATATTTATTTTTATATACTTATACAAATATTTATTTGAACATATTTAACAACACAGCTTAAGGTCTATTTCATTTAAGCCACATTTGCTAACAGCAGAAGAAATTCTAAGACATCATACAACAGATGTGTGAAAGTGATTTACACAGCTAATAAGGCCTCTCCTCTCAGAAAACATGTACTAAAAAGAGTCAAAGTATAGAATTGGCACAAATAAAAAGTTCATAGATATTGAAAATAAGTATTTTGGTTATGTGCTGTAGAAAAGAACACAAACAGACTGGAATCAAATTCCACATTGCTCCACATTCCACAACTTTATATCATCCTTGGGGTGCCCAAACTCGGTCCTGGAGGGCCAGTGTCCTGCAGAGTTTAGATCCAATTTGCTTCAACACACCTGCCGTTAAGTTTTTAGTATGTCTAGTAAGAGTTTGATTAGCTGGTTCAGCTGTGTTTAATTGGGGTTGGAGCTAAACTCTGCAGGACACTGGCCCTCCAGGACTGAGTTTGGGCACCCCTGCTATAAACCTTCATAAACCTAATTCCTCCTAGTCACTACATTATGTATTGTGCATTCATAGGCTGGTGGGTTGGCGTTTATACAACTGTTTCAAGGCAATGGTGCAAGTGTCCATTTGCAGCATCCCTCATTTGGGATCCAGAGGTGGAACTAGTCTAGTCCACTAAACAAGTCCAGGTGACACATCTTCCTGTCGTCCAGTTCAAATAATACCATACTGGGCGAGCTCGTGCAACTCCAGATGGCTAAAGGCTTCCCACGGACACACCACGGTGATGTCTGTGCATGAAAGAAGTTGGCAGATGAAACACAGCAATGAGCCAGACAGTGAGAAAAATCAGTTTGCAAGGGTAGTGGGTTTAGCATATAACACAACACAGTAATTTGATCACTACATAAGCAATGTTCCAAGAGTTGTTCTCACCAGTCCCAAGACCATCCATTCCTGGGATCTCATCTCCAAATCTAATTAAAGAAGAGAAGAAATTGAAAAAAAGCTCAAGTCCCAATACACTCTTTAAAAAAATGGCTCCTCCATAGAAGAACCATTTTGGTTCCCCAAAGAACCTTTCAGTGAACAGTTCTTAAAATAACCCTTTTTCTCTTAGTGTGAAGAACCGCTATAAAGAATCTTTTATAAAATGGAAAGATTCCATGGATGAAGGTTCTTCATGGAACCAAAAATGCCTTTACTTTAAAAAAAAAATGTATAGAGATATCAAGCAAATTTGAATGTCATCTACTCATCCTTTGACTCCCTTCTTGGGAGGTTTGCTTTTGAATTGCCTTGTCATTCTCTGTTTGAATTTAGGTGGTCCTCTTCTGGGTGTTGTTGGTCCCACCACTCTTATCGGGCTTATAGGTGAGTCGCTGAGACTGTCGCAGCTATTTCCCGAGCTCATCCCATACACCGTCTGTATCAGATTTAAAAAAAAAAAAAAAACAGGTTCTTGTCTCAATCTCTCTACTTGCGGTCGAGGAAAGGCAGCTTAAATACACTCAGGCTGGCCCATGTTTGCGTCAATGGGTCAACAGCAAAGCCTGACAGATTGGCGCAGTGACATAGCAGCAATCTGCTGCAGGTTAACTCAGGCAAAAGGCTAAGAACACTCATTGGATTCTGAAAACACAAACCGGCCTTCATTGAGAAATCTTTCTGAATGGTCAACTCACATCAGTACACCTGGAGAGTCTGTCATGGATTAGATAGAACATGCTTCATTCATGGCATCTGCAGAGGAAATGAATGAAGACAAAATCTGCACTCACAAGCATCCAAGCAGTCAACAACTTTGATAATGACATTAGATCAACCCTGAATGGCTATATAATCTCCTTTGCAAGAAACATGTGCTTCAAAGAATCTTCTAGATTTTTGCAAACATTTTCATTCACTGAATTGCCATCAACAGCAATTTCACTCAAAAATGATTTCAAATTTCAAAGAACTTTCAGACATCTGTAAACATAGGATGACCATACATCATCTTTGTCCTGGCTAGGATTTCTAAATTGCTCAAAAGGTCTAGGGTTTGGCATTTTTCTGATTCATTTTTCATACTTGCTGAAAGTAATGATTGAAAAGTAGTTTAACCATTAGTGTGCTGACATTGTACATAATCCACCAATCGTGGCATGGGAGAAGGTGGGATCTACAGAGAACAGCCAAAGCAGTACATAGCAATACGTGTGCATACAGTATAATGTATGAAGACTGTAGAAAGCATGTGAATAGGAAAACAAAGCCAAAACCTTGACATTTTAGGCAATGTAGAAATCCTTGCCAGGATGCATGGTCACCATATCAAACATCATCATTCACTGACTTTCCTTAGTAAATAATGAAGAAAGTTGAATGAACTATCTATCTATCTATCTATCTAATCAAATATATATATATATATATATATATATTTAACTCATTAATTTTGAAATGGTGACTGTGTCCCTGCAGCATTTAACACAGCACGTCAACATTAAAGTGAAAAAGACAACAGTATTATCTGCACTTCATATAGACCAATGACGTTCAGCATGGCTTAGGCCTAATCTATGCTACGCACTAATGTAGGCCTACTTAAAGTTAAGTCCCTGACATAGAGATTGTGATTGATGTTGGGGTTTGAGCACCATTAAAGAAGATCATGTCACACAGAGACAGATGTCAAATGTAGTTCTGGGATATGAGTGACATGTGGCTGAGAGCGTTAATACATTTGAGAAAGAACACCTGATTCTCTAAGAGAAGAGGAATTCAGTCCAACAGGTAAAATATTGTCAGGCAGCCTTTACGGATTACATATGAGCTGATACAACAATAAAAAGGACTGACTTTTAAAGACAGTTTAAAGAAATAGAGAGCTCAAAGCCCTCCATCTCCCGTTCACAGCGGTCTCTTTGAATGTTAACTTCACTCTGAATTAGGCCTACCCACCATTCCCTGCAGGCATGGATTGACTATAATCTCACAGAGCTCCTAAAGTGTGGTTCAGAGAATTGCAGAGTCTTCTGTGGCAATGGCATAAAAGTGATAAAGCATAACTTACCTTGGTCTCAAATTAGTGCCTGATTGTTTTTAAGTGTTCTGTTTAAGTTACTGTTAAATATAACTTAAGAGAGTACGAATTATTATTATTAGTAGCAGTAGCAGTTAGACATTATACATAAGCCTTTATAAATACACATAAACAATGTTATAAAAAAGATACAATAATGCAAACAGACATCAAACACTAAAGAGCGGGGTGGTGAAAATGTAATTCAATTTTTAAACAGAAGGGGGTAGCAAGATTCTTAATAAAAGCTGACACACTAAACTAGTCTGATGCTCAGTAAAGCACAGTAATTCTCAACCAGGGTCCTCAGCAGATTCACAAGACTACTTATATATTAAATCGAACTTAATTAAAATGCTTCAAACTGTTAATAAACTGAAGATCTACAACATGTAAGCTGACATCATATTTCTCACTCAGGTGAAACTACACATCGGAGGTCTCACACAGACAATTTTGACCACTGCAACATAGCTGGATTGTGCAGAAGGGCTTTGAATATCGTCATGTACAATGGGGGGCCTTGGAATCAAAAAGAGTGAGAACCGGTGGAATAGCATATTCTTTTCTGGAGGAAAAAAAAACAGGTATGGCTGAGGGATAAAAGCTGAGGCCTGGGGATAAACTATAGGCTACTCTTCAGCATTCCTCAACTCGCTTCAGCCCTGCTCTACTGCAGTGCAACTCCAGCAATACCAGGATCAATCCAGGGACACAAAGAAATCTATCTATCTATCTATCTATCAGTCTGTCTGTCTCTATCTATCTATCTATCTATCTATCTATCTATCTATCT